CCTTTGTTTGTATCATTCCATGTGCTATCAGTGGATATGGAAATATATGGATATGATTGTATGGTACTGGTAGCATGTTTAAAATTTCTAAGTTATGCCAAGTTGCAAAATATATGAGTTTTCATCCAGAAGTAAAAAGAAGGAACTTGGTCTATGACTATGAGAACGACGGAAAAAGAAAAAAAAAACATTAACTTGCGAGTTCAGATGTACCTTGGAAGGACTTTGATTGAATACCAAGTCCCCTGATAATGACTTGTCTGGTTCAACAGCAGTTGGTGGGTGATCATTCCCATTAGCATACAAAAACTTCTAGCCCACTGCATTAGATCAATTGAACCTGCCTGTACCAGTTCAAAACCTTGATTCAATTCATTCAAAATATCATTTATAAGAAACTAGTTAGATTGATTAATTGTTTAGGAATAGAATTTATAGAATACCATCTGTACCTCGAAAATGGAGAAAGGTTTCTTAATTGGAAATTGGAAGTCATGAGCAAATTGGGTTCTTGTTTCATGATTTTCACCATCTTCAGTCCACATGTATGTGGAAAGGTTTAACCAAAAACAAATCATAGTACAAGTTCCCTTGCCTTGCAAGTTCCTTCTCTTATTAGTGGTTTCTTGACCAAAAATGGGAAATGCAAATAATTTTAGAATATTGTTAAAAGACCACAATCCATATGGTTAAAACAGGATGCTAATGTACCAGTAAGAGGTTAGTTGAATAGGTCCTAAACTTCTAGCCCACTGCGTTAGATCAATTGAACCTGCCTGTACCAGTTCAAAACCTTGATTCAATTTATTCAAAATATCATTTATAAGAAATTGGTTAGATTGATTAATTGTTTAGGAATAGAATTTGTAGAATACCATCTGTACCTCGAAAATGGAGAAAGGCTTCTTAATTGGAAATTGGAAGGCATGAGCAAATTGGATTCTTGTTTCATGATTTTCACCATCTTCGGTCCACATGTATGTGGAAAGGTTTAACCAAAAACAAATCATAGTATAAGTTCCTTCTCTTATTAATGGTTTCTTGACCAAAAATGGGAAATACAAGTAAGTTTTACATTCTCTAGTGTTAGAAGCAAGGCCTCAAAAAAGAATATTGTTAAAAGACCACAGTCCATATGGTTAAAACAAGGTGCTAATGTACCAGTAAGAGGTTAGTTGAATAGGTCCTTACTAACCATAACCTATAAGACCTTGATTTGTGGTCAAGGTCAGGGGTTCAAAACCACTTCAATGCTAAGTAGTTTAAGTTTTGATGTATCAAAAAGGGAAGTAAAAAGTTGGATGTCAATTATGCAAGCAAATTAGTAAGTTCAGAGGAGCTGAGAACTGGGACGCTGGTTGACCTGCACACAATGTAAAATAGGATATCTGAAGTATTGTTATTATGTAATGCACTTTCGAATATACACAAAACAGACTGTCTCTTGTGAATGACAGTTTTTTGAAATTCAATAATGATTGAACATAAGCAAACCTGCTGGGAGAATAATCGTTTTTCATCAAAACAAACTTGTGTTGCATGTACTAGTCTTTGACATTCACCTAGTACCTTCGAATAATAATACATAAATCCCAAAACAAGGAGCATTTTACATGAATACAATTAAAGTAAAGCCTTACAATGAGATGAAACACTTAACATCAAAGATACAAGAAGATCACATTTGAAAATCAACAAAAAAAACTTCTCAGCAACTTAATGAAACTGAAATTGATATGAACAGTGCACATAAACAGTAACCTTGATGCACTGTTCCATTAGTCTTCAACATGGCCAAAAAAAATT